CATGCCTCGGCGAGGCACAAACTTGAAAGGTTTATCCCCTTGAAATTTTCTTTTCTTTGGAAAATAAAAAGAACGTTAAGAAGTAAATCATAAATGAGGTTACCAGAAAATTCGGAAAAAAAACCAATTCTAAATTACATACAAAAAGACAGCAGCCAAATGTTTCCCACTCAACAAAATGACTTTATGCTACCTCCAGGCTAAACTAAAAGGAAAGGACTAAAACGGGTAACCAGAAAACATGGACAAAAAACCAGCACAAACTCTACATCATATGGTCGGATGGCTTAAAACAAAAAGCAGACTTATATCCCCCCAACCAAATACAAAAACGGGGATCTAAGGGTTTGGGCTATCTCCGAATATCGGTCCCAAATTACGGAAAAAATTAACCCTAACGGGGCCTCAGTCACGTGTCAATTGCCCCTTTCCCGGGACTTAATTGTGCACTTCCGCCCCCGTCGAGGACCCCACTCGCCGCCTGCGGCGTGTAGGGGGCCAAAACAAAAGGGTTTTGGACATGAGCAGCCTCCCGCTTTCCGCGCTCCCTTTTTTTTTTTTTTTGCCGGGGGTCCCAGCCACTAGGGGGGGGTACTCTCACGGTGGCGGTATACCCCGGAATTTCGAAAATTCGGCGGCGGGGGTATATCGCCGGAAGTTCGCAACTGACACTGACTGGCCCCTGTTGGGAAATTTTCGCCCCGAAAATTTTTTTTGGACCGTTATTCGAAACAGCCAAAAGTTTCCCAAACAAAATTTAGTTGCGAATCCCGGGGGGTTTTCAAACCAAACCTGCCAATTGGGACTTTTATGTTTCACCAGGCGATTTTACTTTTTTTTCGGGCCCCGCTTGGAACGTTAGCCTTTCGATCCCATCTTTAAACTCCAAAACCCGGGTCGCTGCCAAACCTGCCCTCGAGCAACCCCGGGCGCCTTGGGGAATTACTAACGCATTCGCCCCCAACCGAAAGAACATCAACATCCATCATTGTCAATTTTCACTTCTCCCCTTAAACTTGGGGGGAAGGAAACTTTTTTGCGTCCACGCAGGCAGTACTGGCTGTGCTTCCGGTCGATGAAAGTTAAATTTCGTAGACTCTACAGGACTTCAAACCCCCCAGCATTTTTTTTTTTGGGGTTTTGGTGTTCATGCAATTTTACTTACAATTTCCCCTGCACTAAAAAGGGCACTCTCGGGACCCCTGTCGAAAACCAAAACAAAACCCACTGGGAGGAAAACCCCCCCCGAAAAAAGCGTTTGCAAGCTTACCCCAGGGCCGACGATGTGTTGATGTCTCAAACCTTTCGCCTAGGGGAGCCTCGTGTTTTACTCAATCTGTTTTGACGGCCTTGTTGGGAGTTTTTCGGGCCATTCTCTCTTAAAGACCAACCCTTTAAAACTCTTTCTCAAAATTCCCCAGGGTGTTTTGTCCTAGCCCCCCTCCAATAACGGCACTTCATGGGGAGCTGGTGTGGGCGCACGTCGACAACAAAAAACCTGTTGTTGTCGGTAACCCTGTGAAAACAAAAACATCAACACGACACGCAAGCGAGCCTCGCTGGATTTTGGGTAATATGGGAGCCGAAGACATGCGACACGCGTCATGTCGTCACGGATGACCTCATCCTCCTCTCCCATTGTACTTTACTTACGCTAATTATACTGACCAGTAACAGAATGAACTCAAACACCACACACATAACAACTGAAAAATGGCACCCAAAAAAGTTGTGGACATAAAGCCTTCATCAACCATACTTCCAGAGACGGACATCGATAAAAAGACACAAAAAGGACTGATTTTTTTTTTTTTTTACGTGTTTCTTCCTGGAGGTTTGGAGAGGGCGTGTCACCAAAGCATGCCGTTAAAGCCGATTTTTAAACGATCTTTTGACATCGGATGTGTTGGGCTGAAAAAAAAAATTGATATCGCGGTTTAGCTGTGAACCGTAAACCACGACCTAATGCACCAGTGCTTTTTAAAAGTATGCGCAAAAATAAAGCCATTTTTAAAGACTCAAATCAACTTCTGGTCGAAGTATACACCTACGATTGAAATCAAAGACTTACTGTCGTTCGCCCTCGCTCTGGATACAAAGGCAACAAACAAAAACATTAATTTATTCAAAACATTTCCCTTTGTATTGGTAACAGGGTCCTGGGAAGAACGACAATATAAATCGTAGATACAGTGGCAGACACTGTGCCCATGCCCAAGCGTAGATACAGTGGCAGACACTGTGCCCATGCCCAAGCGTAGATACAGTGGCAGACACTGCCAGCAATGTGTACGTGCAGTGGAAGAAATTGTGGCAAAAATGACACTATTTCCACGGCCGATCCTGCCCACGGGTCTCACCACCAGTGTGTATCTCAATGGTTTCAAATAAACGAATTGAATGCAAATTCCCAGATGGATACTGCCCACACTCGTAACTAGCGCCTGGGTGCCTTCTACGACACGATGTTACGAATGCATTTTTTAAGCTAACGCCGCCCCCTCACGTCACTGTGTGTGCGTGTATATATGTACTGTATATTCCCTGTCTAGCGTGCATTTCTTAAAGAGACGTGGAGCAAGTACTGCCTTGACTTCAGTTCATGTAGGTAGACAAGAATATACAATGTACTTTAATTAACAACAAATGATAAACATCATTGGCTGCCCAGTCTTGTGTGTGCCGTATGACATTTTAATAAAGTTAATGTAGCTTATTTGAAGTTATAGTAAAGATTTTAAAGCTCTAGTTATATCTGTGTGTTTTGTCAAAGACTGATTTGTACTTATAAATTAAAATTATAATGACGTGTCTACAATTTATGAGTCTCTACCTCTGCCTCGATCATCCTTTGCTTCTACTGACTAGAATGTATTTTCTCATACAACGCGGGCAAACCTCCGCTTGCAAGTCTTGAATGGATAACTTTACAACTTACTGACCTCGACCTGACGTCACTGACAACTGACTGACGCAAGCATCAACAGATAGGGTCAGCTGGCCTTCACTGATCTTCAAGTGACAGAACAGCCTCTTGTCTGTGCCCAGCCCCACCCACAACAGGCATTACTTTTTTAGTTTCATGATGTTTTTCAGTTCTAACACCTAACTCCGAAAGTAGCAACTGCGACCCATAGTTAATCTATTGTCAGTTATAAGGGACTTTTTACCGTTTATGCAACGGATGAACATCATAGCACAAGGGTAGTAAACATATAAGTGCTCCGTTCTACTTCTAGCTCAAGCCTGAGTCCGAAGAATCTCAGCTCAGTGCATGAACTCTGTAGCACCGGCGAGGATCCTGAAATAGTTTGGGTAGTTTTTTAACTGCAAATTTTGCCCGGGCAGGCTGTTAGGCTAATCTTTTCGATTTCGAACTGCCAACGGATTTTTTACGTGCACAATAATACACGCGAACTTCCAATCTTACTACCCAGAGACCAGAGGGAAATTACTAGATGTCCACGTAAAAAAATCCCAGCCATCACCGGGAACTAAACCCGGGCCCTCCAGCACCCGGGGCGACGCTATGCCCCAAGACCACTCGGTCCCCATGAGAGATTGTGCTTGCATGAAATACTCTGTGGGGCTTCATTTGAAATGTCTTAGTATCAGATATCATCATCATATAGCAGGTCCTTTGCAGAACGTCTCTTTCAACATGGTCTGCCTGAAAGAAACTAGGTCTCTCGCTAGCTCGCCCGCCTCTTTCGCACTCTCCGCCCAAGTAGTCACTTATAGCATGTTTTAATCAACGTGCTAGTCAGCCTCCTTCCTTCCTGGTACACTGCCGTCTGCTTTTATATTTCTCTAATTCGCAGAGGCCCTTGATATTGTCTAAGCATTTCAGTTTCTGACACAAGATGTTGTTTACTAACCAATAGTTCTGGACGTTCAGATCTTTAAGAATGCCAGAATGTTTTTCTTCTTTGCTAACGGCATTCTTAGAATCTTTCTAGAGCATTTTAGTATCAGAACTACTACATAAACATCAAGCGGAAGCTTCAGAGTCTCGTTTTTGTTTTAACTACGAATATGTAGCCGGCAGATCTTCAGTAAGAGGCTAACTATGAGCTTCTCATTCCGTCTCAATCCTATGGCGTGCTTTCTATTCACAGAGGTTAGATATATATCAAAGCCAGTAGTATCTTCCTCATTATACAGTAAACCAACATCAGTCAGTTGTATCCCTAAGTCAGCCCATCGTACTCCTAAGTCAACAAGCCAACACCTGAAGTTAACCAGTCATAACCTAATTCGGTCACGCATACCCCAAGTCAACCAACCATATCCACAAGTGAGTCCGCCATACCACTAAGTCAATCCGCCAGGCCCCTAAGTCAACCAGCCATAGCCCAAGTCAGTTCGCTATACCCCTAAGTCAACCAGCCATACCCCAAGTCAGTTCGCTATACCCCTAAGTCATCCAGCCTTACCTTCAAGTCAGGCCATCGTACGCCCAGGTCAGGTCATCGTAACCCGAATTCATGCCACTGTACCCAAGGACAATTAGCCATACTCCTAGGTCAAACGGCCATACTCCCAAGCTAGACCGCCATACCCACTTAAGTAGGTCCGCCATACTTCCAAGTCAACCCGCCACACCACCAAGTCAACCCGCCACACTACCAAGTCAACCTGCCACAACACCAAGTCAACCTGCCACACCCCCAGGTCAACCCGCCACACCACCAAGTCAACCCGCCACACCACCAAGTCAAACCGCCACACCACCAAGTCAACCTGCCACACCCCCAAGTCAACCCGCCACACCACCAAGTCAACCCGCCACACCACCAAGTCAACCCGCCACACGACCAAGTCAACCCACCACACCACCAAGTCAACCCACGACACCACCAAGTCAACCCGCCACACCACCAAGTCAAAACGCCACACCACCAAGTCAACCCACCACACCACCAAGTCAACCTGCCACATCCTTAGAAAGAGCGCCAAGTCAGCCACCCATACAGCCAAATCAGTTCACAATACCCTCAAGTCAACCCGCAACGCTCCCAAGTCATTCCGCAACACTTCCAAGTCAGCCAGCCATACTACCATGTCAACCAGCCATATCCTCAAGTAAGCCAGCCATATCCCCAAGTAAGTCAGCTATATCCCCAAGTAAGTCAGCCATATCCCCAAGTCAGTCAGCATTTATCCCCGTCAGCCAGCCATATCCCCAAGTCAGCAAGCCATATCCTCAAGTCAGCCAGCCATATACCCAAGTAAGCCAGCCATATCCCTAAGCAAGCCAGCCATATTTCAAAGCCATCCATATCCCAAAGTAAGCCAGAAATATCCCCAAGTCAGCCAGCCACACAACCAAGTCAGCCAGCTATATACTAAAACCGACGCGCCAGACCCTCATGTCAGCCCGCCACATACACAGTCAGCCCCACAACGTTTTGCCGCTGCATGTACCGTACCTTTCCCTCTCTTATCGGCATAAGTGTCACCTCATATCTTATTGCAGATCAGCCCTTAACAAACGCACCTGCCGAGGCTTTGATGATGATGATGATGATGATGATGGCAGTAAACTTAAACTGGTTGCAGACGATTCTTGTGGCTGTTACATTTGGCGCCATTTTTATATCGTCTGAGGTTTGTAAACTTTGTACTATTTCAACCCAACGGGTAAGGACGTTTATAAACTGTGTACTGTACATACAACCCAGCGACTAAGCACGTTTATAAACGGTGTACTGTTTCAAACCAACAGGCAAGCATTTTTATTAACTTTGGGCTTTTTTTTTTAGCCAACAGGCAAGCACTTTCATAAACCTTGTACTTTTTTTTTCAAAACAAACGGTTAAGTACGTTGAAAAACTGTATTGTTTGAACCCAACGGGTAAGCACGTTGGCCTCTCATGCGGGAGACCCAGATTTAAATCCTCGACAAGTCTGTGATTTTTTTTTTTTTTTTTGTCTGCAGACGGCACACCCTAATCTAAACAGTCTGTTGCTACAGCACTAGCCATGCTGCTCTAAATCCTCAGGCTCATAAGCTCCCCAGTTTACACCGCAAACGTGGTAAATAAAACAGTAGTATAATTTTTTTTTTTTTTTTGGCAGTACTGCTTTTAATGTTGTGTCTTTTTTTTTTTTTTTCGCCATTGTCATTCACAAACATGTTTCCAGAAAAGGTTATATCCCCTCCGGAAATTTGGAAACCCACCCCAGCATTTAGATTTACTATTCAATGTTCCGTTCATTAGTTTGCCACTGCTTTCTTAATAGTACGGCGTTCATAACAATGCCCGAGCCAACCCAATGCGGCCTGGTACCAAACCCATGGCAGCTTTTTTTTTTCTCCACGTATGCAGGAATTTTGGGACTTGAACACAGAGACATAGTGGCTGGCTCTGCACCACTGGGCGGTGAATTTATGCATCAGTTAATGCTACAGCCTGGAATTAATGCTAAAGCTAAGAATGGCCACGGGATGTGGACTACACTCTACACTCTGGGAGTGACCACGGGATCTGGTCGACACTACAGTCAGGGAGTGACCAGAAGATCTGGTCGACACTACAGTCAGAGAGTGACCACGGGTTCTGGTCGACACTCTACACTCTGGGATGGACCAGGGGATCTGGTCGACACTCTACACTCAGGGAGGAACCACGGGATCTGGTCGACACTCTACACTCTGGGAGGAACCACGGAATCTGGTCGACACTATACACTCAGGGAGGAACCACGGGATCTGGTCGACACTCTACACTCAGGGAGGAACCAGGGGATCTGGTCGACACTCTACACTCAGGAAGGAACCACGGGATCTGGTCGACACTCTACACTCAGGGAGGAACCACGGGATCTGGTCGACACTCTACACTCAGGGAGGAACCAGGGGATCTGGTCGACACTCTACACTCAGGGAGGAACCACGGGATCTGGTTGACACTCTACACTCAGGGGGGAACCACGGGTTCTGGTCGACACTCTACACTCAGGGAGGAACCACGGGATCTGATCGACACTCTACACTCAGGGAGGAACCAGGGGATCTGGTCGACACTCTACACTCAGGGAGGAACCACGGGATCTGGTCGACACTCTACACTCAGGGAGGAACCACGGGATCTGGTCGACACTCTACACTCAGGGAGGAACCACGGGATCTGGTCGACACTCTACACTCAGGGAGGAACCAGGGGATCTGGTCGACACTCTACACTCAGGGAGGAACCACGGGATCTGGTCGACACTCTACACTCAGGGAGGAACCACGGGATCTGGTCGACACTCTACACTCTGGGATGGACCAGGGGATCTGGTCGACACTCTACACTCTGAGATGGACCAGGGGATCTGGTCGACACTCTACACTCTGGGATGGACCAGGGGATCTGGTCGACACTCTACACTCTGGGAGTAACCACGGGATCTGGTCGACACTCTACACTCTGGGAGTAACCACGGGATCTGGTCGACACTCTACACTCTGGGATGGACCACGTGATCTGGTCGACACTCTACACTTAAAAGAAACGCAATCAAACGGATGCTAGCATAATAGGAAATTGAACTTTTCACAGCCTGCTGAATATGAGGACGGAGCTCTTGCGGAAATCTCCCGAGTGCTATAATTTCAATTCTTAGCGCAACACTATATTGGGTAGGTGGGTGGGTGATTGAGATAGATAGGTAGCTTAAGAAGAAAATTGCCATACATGGTTCGGGAGGGTTGAGGGGTAGCTTTAGATTCTTACATTTCAGGAAAGATCACTTAACCCCCCCCCCCCTTTTTTTCCCCACCCATATCCCCCCCCCCCCCTCCGTCGTGCAACAATAATTAGGAGGGGTGCACAATGAATTTTATTCCGGATAAATCCATGACAACTGACACTGACGGATGTATACAGTGAGAGAAGGAGATATGGAGTAGCATTAAGATATGCTAGGATCCCCCCCCCCCTAAGATTATTCATAGTAACACATATCACTCTGAGGCAGTCTAACAAGATAGGAATGAACAGGTGACGGATGGCAGCAGCGAGGACAGATCACAGACACTTGCAGTGGAAATGAGATAACGAATAACCCTGGCCGGACAATGCCCTATGAGATACAGACGATTAATTTTTCAGTCAAATGAAATGGCACAACTGACTGATAATCTAGGAAGCTGGAGAGAGAGATGACAGCGGGGGAGAAATCACCCGGGCTTCGTGAAGAAAAGAGACAGCGAAGTAACAAGAAATGAGGAAGAAGGAGAGAAGGAGATCAGAAGGGCAGTTTGTCTAGGGGCGTTGAGATAGACGGTCGATAAGTGCTGTAGCTCGTGAACATAGTAGTTTACTGTATGGCCGAGAGGTAACCAAATGGAAAGCAAATATTAGACTTGGTTAAGAGCAACTGAGAGATATCTGAAAGAGAAGACAGCGAAGAAAGGTATCTTTATTTCTTGTTAGAAGGATGAAGCGCACGCCATAGTAACTTATGCTGAAGTGTTCATGTGGTTAAATTAGCTCGAGATGTGACAAAGCTAATTAAGTAATGGGGCAACTATCTTTACTGTTGACACACAACCATAGAGTACTAAAGTGAATCTTATCAGAACTATTTTTTGGCCAACACTAGGCTATCAGTGCCAAATATGGACACTTACATCCTCCAATGAACGTAAAATTGTGACAACAGTTGAAATGCTTTAGAAGAGCTACAGGAGTTTCAAGGAAAGACAGAATACGAAATCACGAAATCAGACGAATGCTAGAAATAAAGCCAGTCTTACAGGTAATCAAATAAAAAGAAATGAACTGGCTTGGACACCTAACAAGAATGCCTTGGTACTATCTGCCACAGCGAGCCACACTGAAAAGTTACAACGGGTATAGAGAGAGTGGAAGCCTTGGAAAATATGGAGTAATGGCATTAAGAACAGCCTTACAGAAATGAACATTAGTCTTAACAGTGCTCTTGACAGAGCTCATCAACGAATGTTACATCAACCCCCGACACTTCGATGAGGTACTAGGTGGAAGAGAAGAAGAAGTAGAAAAAGTTCATGTCGTTGTTTAAATGAAACGTATTCGTAGTACTAGCAGTGACATCGTGTTTTTAATAAACAAACTTAATTGCATCGGATGTGTTACATTACTGGCCGTGTTGCTAAACACAAGGAAGACACAGGAGAACTATATCATACATGTTCCATTAAGGCATGCTTACGTTTGGGTAGCATGGAAGAAAACGTGTCACACCTCACCTTGCCCCGGATGTGTTTAGAGAGCCTTGGAGGTGAAGGCGCCCCTGATGTAGACAATGATGACGATGATGATGATGATGATGGTAGTGGGGAAGAATCAAGATGACGTGAAAGAGTGAACATAAAAAAGCACACAACACGAACCATTTACACAAATGACAGAACAGACAATGAAACACGATATTAACATACCATTGTAATGGTTGGACTCAATATCCACACTTGCGACAGAAACTTTCTGTGTCCACACAAACAAGTCTTGCACAAAACACGGGTACTCCATAGTTCACGGTGTGGAGGAAAAACTTGCACTTTCCCTAGTGTAGTTCGTTCCACCACGGCACAAGTGGGGAAATATAACGGAACAAATAATATGTTATAGAACGTCGATTGTACACAATGTTTCAAGTCACACATCTGATCTTCTGAAGCTACATTAAAATATGTATGTTAATGTGAGGCTGTCAAGTGGACGGCAGAGAGGTTAGAATACTGGCTTTTCCTTCGTGCGGCCTAGTAACATGATAGGAAAACTATTTTTTTTAATTAGTTTAAATTTTTTTTTTTTAGCTTACTACTTAACGAGATGGTATTAGTTAGTTAGTTAGTTAGTTAGTTAGTTAGTTAGCTAGCTAGCTAGCTAGTTAGTTAGTTAGTTAGTTAGTAGTTAGTTAGTAGTTAGTTAGTTAGTTAGTTAGTTAGGTTAGTTAGTTAGTTAGTTAGTTAGTTTTAGTTAGTTAGTTAGTTAGTTAGTTAGTTAGTTAGTTAGTTTAGTTAGTTAGTTAGTTAGTTAGTTTAGTTAGTAGTAGTTAGTTAGTTAGTTAGTTATTAGTTAGTTAGTTAGTTAGTTAGTTTAGTTATTTAGTTAGTGCGTTGGTTGGCTAGTTAGTTGTCGTTAGTTAGTTAGTTAGTAGTTAGTTAGTGTAGTTAGTTAGTTAGTTAGTTAGTTAGTTATTTAGTTAAGTTAGTTAGTTAGTTAGTTAGGTAGTTAGTTAGTTTAGTTAGTTAGTTAGTTAGTACGTTAGTTAGTTAGTTAGTTAAGTAAGTTAGTTAGTTAGTCGTTAGATTAGTTAGTTAGTTTAGTTAGTTAGTTAGTTAGTTAGTTAGTTAGTTAGTTAGTTAGTTAGTTAGTAGTTAGTTGCTCAACCGTCTACTGATGAGTGATTCCAGTCACAAACGGAATTAAGATACGCTGGATACTAAAGTGGAGAACGGTTGTTCATACACAAGTATGTCCTGGCAAAACCACACACACGATTGATCTGGACAAACGACATAGGATGCCAAGCAAGGCCTCCTTAAACCACACTGCGAGCCCAGGAGTCATCGCTGAAAAACCAACTTCATTCGACGAAATAGCTGGACAATGAGTAGATTAAAACTATTCCTGGCCATTCTCCACATGTCCTCGGCCAAGTTGCAGCCACGGCCAGCAAATAAATAGCAGCTATAGCACACGCCTTGTCCTAGGAACACACCGAGATGATATTGAGAGAGATCAAAGATACACAATGAATTAGATAGGGGGGTTATAATTAGGGCTGTACCAAATATTCGCTTCGTATTCGCTTCGGGGCCGAATAGTGGACCTAATAACTATTCGGTATTCGGCCGAATAGTTGCGGTCGGGTCGAATACGAATAGTGGTTACCTACATCCGTTCGGGGACTGGTTGGAAAATAAACTGTCAAGATTTCCACCGGGGTTCAATTAATGTTCAAGCGTTATCTTTGGCACCAACTACGAGGGACCAAGTGAACGTCTAGTACACTGGAATACCTTTTAGTGAGAAAGAAGCGCTTTTTTTTTTTAAAAACTTATGCCCTTTTATTGATTCTAAGCTGTCAGTGACAATTTACAAATTTAGTTTCTTGTTTAAAATAAGAAACTTTATTCCCA